GCGAGCGCCCGCACGTTAGAGACGGAGGCCATTGCCGTTTATGTACTCCCTTGGGCGCTAAGTCTTACCATAGTTGCGGGAAGCGGCAAAAGAGCGCATAAGGGCAAAACACACTTTCCCATCGCGGATTCGAACCGCGGTCGCCAAGGTGAAGGCTTGGCGTCTTAACCGCTAGACTAATGGGAACGGAACATATTGTAAATAATTTTGATCCTATTTATAGATGCATGCATTTAAGTGAGACGCAGTTTCGCCGTGTGACGACTCCGTGGACGGGTTCAGCGGTGCGAGGAGACCCAGCTCGGCGCAAAGAGCGAAGGAGTGCCCCGCTTGACAGCTGCCTGTGCCGCTGGCATGTCCTTTGCATTCCTCTCCCAGCCCGAACGGGATGCGCTTGGCGGCACTCTGAGCCAGCTTGAGGCTTGCACGAATGAGAGCGCCGCCGGCCTCGAGTGCGTCGAACCGCCCGCGCGCGCCGGCTCGGTCCTCGCGCTCGCCGAGTTCGACGGGCATGCTGTTGCGGCCGACCAGTCGCTGCTAGACGCGTACATCCGCGACGGCCGGCCCGTGCTGGTGCGAGACCTCGCGACCGCGCTGCGCTGGCCGGCGTGCGTCAGCTGGGCGAGCGCCGGGGCCTTCGTCGATGCGCACGGCGCCGTGCCATTCAAGCTGACAGACTTGAGGATGCCCGCGGGCATGGGCAAGCAGCGCCCACGACCGCTCCGGCTGCCGCTAGGCGTGTACGCACGCTACGTGGACGCGACGGAGGCCGACTTCCCATGGTATTGCTTTGGGGATGACTTTCTAGACGAGCGCGTCGCGTTTCTCGCTGACTACACCGTGCCGCCCGCGTGGAGTGACGATCTGTACGAGCTGGGTGCTGAGCTGCGCTCAGCCTTCCCCGCCTACCGGTGAGGGCCTGCTTGCCGTCTGCTCTTTCTTTATCTCTGTCGGTCCACCTGCCTACCTGTCTACCTGTCTGCCTACCTACATGTCTGTCGGTCGGTCGGTCTACCTGTCTGTCTGTCAGTCAGTCAGGCAGCACTCACTGGCTACACTCACTGCCTGTCTGTCTGTCAGCACTCACTGGCTACGCTCACTGTCTGTCTGTCCGTCAGCACTCACTTGGCTACGCTCTCTGTCTGTCTGTCTGTCAGCACTCACTGGCTATACTACTTGCCTGTCCTCGCGGTGCTGCACTTTCCTCAGCTACTGTCGTTTTTATTTATAACTATTTCTTATTAATTTTATTTTTATTTATTTTTGGCGGCGCACAGTGCATCGTTCCAATTCCACACCCTTGTCTGTCCTGCCTAACCCCTAACCTTATCCTGGCCCGAACCTTAGCCCAAGCCCTAGCTCCAGCCCTAGACCAAGCCGTAACTAACCCAAATTCAAACCCTGGCCCTAATAATAATAATAATAATAATAGTATTAACAATATCAATAACAATAAAAGCTTCATGGTCATTGGCGGCGCGCGCACGGGCTCCAACTTGCACGTCGATCCGGACTTCACCGCTGCGTGGAACGCGCTGCTTGCGGGTACCAAGCGCTGGGCCCTTTTCCCGCCCTTTTCAGCCACGCCGGATCCTGCCGGGCAGAGCGAAGAGAGCTATAGATTGAAAATCGGCGTGGGCAGCAGCCGCGACCCGCCGCTCCAATGGTGGCTCAAGCACTACGAACGATTGGTAAAACAATTGCTAGTATTTTTTTAAAAAAAAAGCCGATAAACTTGATGATTATTGTAATTATGGTGGCTCAAGCACTACGAACGATTGGTAAAAACATTGCTATTCTTATTTACCTTTTGTTCTATAAGCGTGATGCTTATTGTTATTATGGTGGTTGGAGCATTGCGAACACCTGATGGCGAAGCAGGCATAATGTATGTTGATTTGCGATTTTTATTCTGATTAATTGTTCATATTAGATTTGTGCTACGAACGACTGGCGGCTGAGCAGGGTTTCTAATCATTATTGCCTGCTGCGCTTAATATAATACTTAACAGGCGCAGGACCCGTCGCTCGGCATGGTTGAGTGCGAACAGCGCGCGGGGGATATCATTTACGTCCCGGCCGGCTGGTAAGTCCTTTTTTTATTTTTGAGTTGGGGACTCTGGATGGCAGTCTGATATTTTAGTATCCGCCCTCGCTCGCGTGCACACCCGGCGCCGAATAACTTTTTAACTGCATTTAAGAATAAGAATAACAATAAGAATTAGCGCCGCTTTTGCCTTCCCACCCC